AAAAATAACACTTTGATGGTATTTGTAAAACAGTTGGCATGCTTGCTTATTTGAAGTCTTAGTTCCCAATTTGTGCATTTATGGGTGTGAAGGGATGGGATACAGTGGGATAGATAGAGCTGAATGCATAGCTGTTTCTGTTATTATTTTTTTTTTAATTTAAAATTGAATGAATCTAATCTGAAATTGGGCAGAGAACTGGATGAAAAAATATCACCTAGACTCTTGTTTCTTTTCCACTTGAGGTATGGCTTCAAAGGATCCCTGATCTTTTTACTCCTTCCTTTTTAACTTCTAGTGAAACAGAAATCAAAATGCTGGTCTTTGTAAGATTCACAACAGCAGAATGCTCCTATATAAGTTTTCCCCGTGAGGATATGATTTATATTCACTCAACTCTGTGCCTGAAAATGTATTATTTTGGTATATATATATATCTTAAAATACTTGCGAGGCTATTTATTTGTTGGTTTGTTGGTTGATTTTTTTTTGTGGCTTGATGAAGGGATATTTGTTTTTTGTTTGTTTGTTTGTTTGTTTGTTTGTTTTGAGTTACCAGCAGAAAAAAGCATTCATCTCTATATGAATTCTATGAGATTTTGCAAGTAGAACAAGTATAATTCAGTTGCCACTTTAATAGTGAACAGTTTTCAAAAGATGTCAACCTTGAGTTGAGAAAGCCTTGAGTGTAGGTGGTGACCTCAGTTCTTAGAACATCAAAGAAAATATTTTAGAGAAGAAGAGAAAGAAAGTGGAAAGACCAGAAAAGATCAGGATCGCTGTCTTCCAAAAGAAAGCAGTGGAAGAGTTTCCAAATTTTTCATTCTTCTTCTAATTGTTTCTATTCCATATGGCTTTTGAATCTGTACCAACTGATGTGTTCAGTAATAGTTTATTTTAAAGGAACATATCAAAATATTTACCTACTCTACAGTAACAGTAATAGCTTCTAAGTCCATGCTCATTAAAACTAATGCAAACATTAGAGAGACACATTTCCATGGTAAATGAATCTCTGACACCTTTATTTCAGAGGATAAATAATATTCACTGTTCATTGCTTCATTTAAGTTGAAGAGTAAAGATTTCTGAAATATTTGGCATGCTACATTGATCAAGAACACATAAAGAGCAATCTGTAATGAGAGCTCTCTGAGAAGAAAGTATTGTTGGTGGGCTACATGTTTGCCTCTTCCACCTTTACTGAAGTTTGGTGACATCTTTAATCCACTAGTTCTGTCCCATCAGAATTGACATGCTGGTGTTCTCTGTGAACAGTTACCTCCCTGAGAAGCATATTTAAATTGGTTTTTGTTGTTACTCCTTTTTGTTTACTCTTTTCTTTCTATTTATTTAATTGCATTTTTCACTTACAGCAGCAGTATATAGCTCTTCTTCCTTAAAATATACCTAAGTCAACAGACATACGAGAAAACAGAAATCAGATGAAGATATAGTTTATTACTTGTCTATTCACACATACACACTTGAAAAGATCTGTTCTTTAGATAGTCTCTTTGCATATGAGCAATATATAGAATACATACTTCCTTGTAAATCTATTAAATATAGTAAGCCTTTTAGCTTAAAGTAAGCACAGAGAAGATAAAAAAAAACAATACATTTCAGGCTTATGGTCTGTAATTGTATTTTTGTTTACAGTTATGCTTACAACATGCAAGATCTTAAAACTGTAGTAGAATTTCCCTGAAAAACCTAAAGAGAAGATACTGCAGTGGAGGGAACCAACTGACTTCAGCAAGCTTTGGACCAAATACTAGTTGACTAGCTGGGCAAACAAGCATCAACTAACTATGCAATAAGCTATAATAATGTTTATAGTCTATGTAATACATATAAGCGTAGTCTGTCATTGTTTACTGGAACAAAAATTTCCAAGACACTATCATTTCACAGTGTTAACTGTTAAAGTAGAAATTAAATCCCAGCCTTCACATGTCTTGAGGAAAATACAGACTTGGACATGCAGCTAAGTATTTAATCACTGTGTCACAAAATGTATTCCATTCAGATAGAAATGGTTGCATTATAATGTAGTGCTACTCTGGATGCTGTGTTCTTCCCCATTTAACTACTGTCAGGGTTAGAAGCATGAAATGAACCTGAGCTTTTAAATCTCAGCTGCAGCCTTCAGTGTCCTTGCTGGTGAGCACCTGATGTCATCATTTTGAATGAAGTCTGACACTAATTATGTGTCATTCACAGGACTGCCAGTCAGGAGAGTCTTGGTGAATAAAAAGCTATTTAAAAGGTTTTTATATGAGGTCTTACTCTCAATTTTTTAAAAGCCCTCACATCTCTTGTAAAGTAGCACCCTGCTAATGCTGTTGAGGAAGAGAAATGCTTTTTAAAAGACTATTATTAATGTTTGAAATGCATGTTCTTGTTTGGAAGCCGTATAAAGAATAGCTATTACATTTGGTCTTGTAATAAACGCAAACCTGGGGAAAGATACTTTGTCCTTTTCAGACCATCTGCCTTGGTGCTGACACACAATCTTCCTGGTCAGCGTATCAGAATATTCAAAATTAATTAAGAAATGTACATAAAACATTAGTAATTCATTTTGTTCTTTTTCTGCTAATAAATAATTTTAAAACTGCCAGATTGTGGAGCAGTTAAAAGATTTGTTTTCTGGTCTTGTCTTCCTGCAGATTACTTTTTCCGCTGTAGTTTTCAGGGATGCAATTCTCTCCATTTGCATGTATGTATTGTCATATGACAGTATTCAGAAATGGCTTTTATTTTCATTTAGATCACTTTCTCCAAAGATTAGGATTTAAATTTTTTGTTTGCCATGAATATGGTCAGCTTATTAATATTACTTCATAAAATAATTCAAGCAGCTAGTCAAACTAAACTCAAATACTTGCTGATACAATGGGATTCCAAAGTGCAACCAGAATATCTGCACAAGGCTAAGGCAACATTCTGTACTGTCTTCAAGCAGGCAGTCTCATATCATTTACATCTTTCAGCACTTGGTGCATCAGATTTTCTCAGTCTGTTCCCAAAGACTCAGTGAACTACAAGAAGCAGGCTGTAGTTCTTCACATTTACAGAGATGCATTTCTGTTACAAGGTCACTTTCCGTTGTTTCTCCTGCATCACTTGGAGGGAGCAAGCATTATCAAGCTGTTGCTTCTACAGTCTGGAATGGAAGAAGGACAGTGCAGAAAACTAGCGTGGTGACCTGGTGGACTTTGCGGAATGATTGCAATACAAAAGGTGCACTGTAAAACACACAAATGAAAAGGAATACAAGCAGAAACAAAGCATGTAGCTTATATTTACACAATATAAAATTCAGCTTAGCTAACAGTGTGTCTGATTGGGAATTTAATATTACCAACTGTAATGAAAATCCTTTCTAAAATCTTATCACTGAAAAAGCGAGTAAAAATGAGAGTTAGATATAGAAAAGTGATCTTACCTGAATGTCTAGCACTGGAAAAAGTATCTTTACTGAAATACTGATCCTCTACTTCATATCCAGTGTTAATCAGAAGTAGTTGAAAGGGGACCAGAGAAATTATCAGCACAAAAAGAAAAAATCCCCAAACTGCATTTTTTTAAAGAAAATGCATCTATATGGCTATGTGCAATTAGTCATGGGCAGATGTGGGTTAGCCATGAATTAACTGGCAGTTGTAAGGTATGGCTATGTAGTTTCTTTTGTATTCATTATGGAATATTTTTTAAGAGTATTTTTTCCCAAAATAAAAGTATTAATTTAATATCTTGTTTTTTTTTTTTTTTTTTTTTTCACTTTTTTTGAGGGTCTTACAAATCAGTAATTAACAGTAATGGCAATTGTGATCAGAATTATAGCAGTCTTTTTCTACCTGTGCTTTTGAAAACATACATGCACTGAATAAAGCAGAATAAAAAGTATATATACATTATTCTAAGAAAAGTGAAAAACAGCCTGTTTCTTTTCAAGTGAGTAAAAGGAACTGGAGAAATTTTGCGTTAATGCACTACTATTCTTACAAGCCTTCAAAAACTGCAAACTAACTTTAGATATTGCTCAGTAGAATGTGCAACAGTTGAAACTGATGGAATTAATTGATCTTACCTAGTAGAATTGTAAAAAATTACATTTCTAACAATCATAACTATTTAAGTCTAATTGAAATAAGTCTACATAAAACTACTGATTTCAAACAGAACAGATGGTTTTTAGTTTTTTTGAGGATGAAGTTTACTATGGGAGCATGATAGAATGAAGAAGTGTTTTTTTGCTCACATAAGCTTAGGTTTCTCTGCAGATGTAGAACTAGATTTAGAAATACTGCTACATGATTATTGGTTACCCATAGGGATTAGACTCTAATTTTATGGGCTCTCATGATGAACTCATTATTTTTATACCTTATACAAATACAGCAGAAACATAAAGAAATATCTCAGAAGTCATTATAATACCACTGGGGTTGATGATCTCTGTTCAAGCAAATAGGTGTAAGGTGATTACACAGAGATTTATGAGTTATTTCTTCACTTCTCTCAATAGCATCAATAAGGCAGAGCGGACTGGCCTTTTCCTTTCTGGGTTTTGTTGTTGACGTGTATGTTGGATTGATACTGAGAGATGCCTCTGTTCAGCCAAAGCCTGAGCTGAGATAACTGTGGCTAGCTCAGGGCACAGTGACGATCCTTCCCAGAGAAGCGGGGTGGTGCTGAGATCTGAGCTGACTGGTGACTTTGGGCCTCATTTGCCCTTTGTAAATTAGCAGTACGATGTTATTTCCTAACTCAGCCACATGCCGGGAAGATAAATACACTCTTATGTTCTCAGTGGTTCCAACTCAGCTGCAATGCCAGGCTTTCCTCTCTTCCACAGAGGTGTCCAGCCATAGCAGGCTAGAGATCCCTGCAAGTCCAGTCACCTTTCTGTTCAGTGTTTGCCGTTTGCTATTGCAGTTTGCTGTGTTTGGCTTTCCTTCCAACCTTTTCTTTGTCTTTGTCTTTTCTAGTTTGAAGGCTGCAAGAAGGCCTTTTCCAGGCTAGAAAATCTCAAGATTCACTTAAGGAGTCATACGGGTGAAAAGCCATATCTTTGTCAATACCCCGGCTGCCAGAAAGCCTTCAGCAACTCCAGCGACCGTGCCAAGCACCAGAGGACACACCTGGACACTGTAAGGAAATAGAAACAGCACTGTAGTTGCCTGTGCATTAGACTCTGTGCTCTTTTCTGCTAGCTTGGTGGTAGCAGCTAGCCAATAACCGTAGAGATAGGAGGGAGAAAGTTCTGCTAGGGCTTTTCAAGTTGATTAAAAAAGCCATAGCTCCATTGGCTTTACTGAAGGAAGAGGGAATGGCTTCCTCCCTCATAAGTGAGATATAGGAAACCTGAAGTCGGTATTGAAAGACATAGATGCCATCTGTGATAATAACTGGTATAAATAACTGACAAAAACTCCATTGAATGTTAGGGCTGGAGCACACCAGAAAGTCAACAGAGGAAGAATTTTCTGAATCTAAAACTTTTCATACCATAAATTGTTGCTTGTGAATTTGATTCACAGCCAAGATTTGTTTAATAAATCTTTTGTTTCACAACAAAGGAAGATCAGGTTTCATCAGTGACAAGCAGTTTCCAATGGGCAGAAGTCCTGAAGAATGAAAACAATGCCATTTCAAATAAACAGGCTGTCACAAAACTTAAATGATGGTTTTTGGATAGTTGATAGTATGGCTGATGTGTTGATCAATAACAAACGTGCTCCCAGAAATGCAAAATGGCTAAATTGTGAAATTGCTAGTTTTAGCAAACATTCAGTATATACTGCTCATTCAGTACTCTTTTTTGTGGGTCCTGCAGTTCTTTAGAGAAGACAGGTTAAAACAGGCAGAAAGAGGAAGTTGTTAAAATTTTCATTTATTTAGTGATTTAGATTATTTGGTCTTTTTAGAAAACTGTGAAGGTATTACAGAACTGGCATCACTCTGAACTGGTGTTATTAGAAAAAATGAGCCTAAGGTGCTTGTCTTATACTTCACAATAAAATGTGTATTTTTGATAGTTTATTATTCAGTGTTTGCACTGGTTTTTGCTTGCTCTCTTTGTAATATAGTAAACTAACACTTTTTCTTGTTCTTTTTTTCTGAAGCGGATTCTTCTATAATCCTAAACAGTCTATCTGGGCCTTTACTGCAATTTCTTTACCTGATACACTAAAGAATGTAATTACTGATTAAGTCAAAGATTGCTCTGAGGGTGGAAGAATTGTGAGTATACCTAACAATATTCATTGTACTGATTCAAAAAAAAAAAAAAAAAAAAAAAAAAGGTAATAATGAAAGATGCCATAGTGAACACTATTCCTTTGTTTTTTCTTCCATATTAAACTTACTTTCCTCCTTTCCCTTTCTAATAAATTTCTGAGCCTTGAGCTTCTGTTAACGCGCAACATTTTGTTTTGTAGTAATGTGATTTGCAGGTTCAATAGGGATTCTCATGAGTTAAAATAATCCACAATTTAATGCCTGATTGTTTATACCTTTTTTTTTTTGGTTTAGAAACCTTATGCATGTCAGATTCCAGGATGTACTAAACGATACACAGATCCAAGCTCTCTGAGGAAACATGTGAAAGCACATTCTTCCAAAGACCAGCAAGTTAGGAAAAAGGTAATTTTCTACTGTGCTAGCAGGTACAAATATTATGTGGAGAAGTCGGTATTCTAATATTAGATGCGTAATTCTTATTAAATACCTCCACTGATTTCACACTGTTGATGAGAAAAACCATTAATGAAAGGTAATAAAATTATCATTCTGACATAGATCATAGTTTTATCCTTGACTTTATGAGACTGTCTTCTTTAGTACTCTTTATTTGCTGATATGATGATTTATTAGTAAACATACATAAGGAGCAAAATCTAAAGTGATTTTTGAGAAGAGAATTTTTGATGTTATTGTTCATAATGTTATGAAATCCAAGTTTACACTGCCCATCTCAAATGGAAAGATGGATTTCCAGGATGGATGGACAGTGTGTGATTTAAGCTGTAAATTATATTTTTATTTGCCAGACACCTCAAAATACCAAGACATTTCACAACACTAGATCCCTTTGAATGTCAGCTCTGAGTCAACAGTTATTTGTATGCAGAAGTGTGTCTTAGAAGAGCTGAACTCTGACCTAAGGGAATGATGTGGATCTATTTTATTAGTTTAGGTCACTGCAGAAAAGAAACATAAGCTCTCATTTTAAAGGAAAGTGATTGAATATTAGAAAGAATTTCTTCTCAGAAAGAGTGGTTATAAGTCACTGTCCCTGGAAGTGAAGGAAAGGGTAGATATAGTACTTAGAGACGTGGCTTAGTGGGCAGTATTGGTGATAGGTGAACAATTGGGCTGGACTGGATGATCACAGAATCACGAAATTGCAGGGGTTGGAAGGGACCTCAAGAAATTATTGAGTCCCGTCTCCCTGCTAAAGCATTTACTCTATAATAGGTCACACAGATAGGTGTCCAGACAGGTCTTGAATATATTCATAGGAGACTCCATAACCTCTCTGTGCAACCTGGTTCTGTACTCTGTCACCCTTACCATAAAAAGGGTGACAGTGACCCCCATCTTAGGGATCTTTTCCAACCTTAATAATTCCATAATTCTATGATTCTATAATTCTGTCATCCTGATAACAGGGTATAACTTGTGTGAATTGGTATAGAAATAGATAAATCTTTGAGACATTACCCCATATAAAAGAAGTTCTCATTTAAAAATTTTTAACTTAATGTACAGCTTTTCATGGTGAGTAGCAAAATGTGTTATTTTGCACAACATAGGAAAAGTAAGCAGTCTTAAAAGCTGCAGCATACAAAGCTGAGTAGTAAATTTTGATTAAATTGTTTGCTCTGACCAAGAAGCAAGACCTGTCAGAAGAGAGCTGAATTTCAGCTTGTGAGGAACTGTCCTGGAGTATTAACAAATAGAGGCCTCTGAATTCAGGAGTGCCTACTCTTGGATTAGAGATTGGGTAACCATGCGCTTGCTCCTGTGTGTGCCGACTACAGGCAGGACTGCTGACGCTGGTCTTGGAGCACTGCCCTGACTTTCCCAGGAGGACAGTGCAGCTGCCCAGCCACTGGCTGTTACAGATTTTACAGGCAGATAAAGTAAGTGACAAGCAAGTCTGCATTGTAAGACATTTGTGTAAAATAAAACTGTCATAATGGTCCTGAATACAAATAATCATAGAATGGGTTGAGTTGGAAGACACCATAAAGATCATCTACTTTCAATCACTTTTCACTGGATAGGATTGTCACCCATCAGATCAGGCTGCCCTGGAGCTCATCCAACCTGGCCTTGATCATCTCCAGGAATGGAGCATAAACAGCTTCTCTGAGCAACCTCTTCCAGCACAAAACCACCCTAACATCTAACCTAAATCTCCCCTCTTTTAGTTTAAAACCATTCCCTTTTGTCCTATCAGACAATTTATAAAGGACTTTCCGACTTTTTATAAGCTCTCTTTAAGTCCTGCAGTGAGGCTGCAATGAAGTCTCTCTGGAGCCTTCTTTTCTTCAGACTGGAGATGTCCAGCTCCCTCACCCTTTCTTTGTAGAAGAGATGTTCCAGCCCTCTGATTATCTCTGTGGCCCTCTCTGGACCCTTTCCAAGAAGTCCACATCTTTTTTGTGCTGAGAGCTCCAGACCTGGACTCAGTACTGCAGGTAGGGTCTTACAAGGACAGAATCAAGAGAGAGGATCTCCTCCTCCTCCTTGCTGACCACTCCTCTTCTGATGAACCCCAGGACACCTTTGCCTTTTGATTTGCAGGCACACACTTCTGGTTCACGTCAAGCTTTTCATCCACCAGGATCCCCAAATCATCATTATACTGTTACTTTAACTGAAAGTAAAATAATATGTTATCTCCTGTCTTTGATGGTGTCAGTTTTCAACATTTTGTGAAATTTTCCTTTTAATGTTTCAATCGCTGTGTGTTTTTGTTCATTTACTATTCTTTCTTTGTGCCAAACAGATTAAATCTGGACCTTTCAATTTTTTGCTTTGATCTCTGTGGTCACATTTTAGCCTTAAAATTACTTATTTTTACAGCCCTCTTTAATAAGTATTTATCTCTGCCATTGATCACCTGAGATACATTAATATATGGAAAGGCAAATAAGCCAAACCTACAAAAACAAAACAAAAAACCCAAAGAATAAACTACATGGCATCAATCAAGCCAGATACTTGAAGTGTGAATAAAGTTTGCCATGTATAATGTTTATAAGGTGCAGTATAGTTACTGGACCATTGAGAACTTATAGTTGCTAACTCATATCATACTTAGGCATTTAGAATATTTTCTGGCAGTAATAATAATAAAAAAGTAAGAAACAATAAGCCTTTTTAGGCAGAATTAAGATTATTTATGACTTTAATTAAAAGTGAAAATTGGCTTAGTGTCAGAAGACTCTTTAAAAAACGTGAATTCATCAAAAATAACCATAAAAATTCCAACGTGATAAAGGCACTGTGAAATAATAGTTCCAACCCTGGGATCTATTCTGTTGAAAAGAAGGAAACCCTTTGCTGTCACACCTCGTTAGTCATGGATTCATTTAATATATTGTGCCTGACTGCTTTTTAATCCTCCTTACAACCTCCCCCGACACACTAGGTGACATTATTTTGGTGTTTCACGTTGCTGGCTCTCCAAGACTGTGCAAATGTGTCTTTGATGTTGCATAGTCTTAAAATAGCAGGATAAAGTATGTTCACAACAGAAGAGACAGCTGCTTGCTGTACAAAACTCCAGTTATGTAGTTTATAGCCCAGATTTTCTCAATCTGTCTTCAAAGCTTCGACCCCTTCCTTGTTCTCTTAAGACCTGACCAAATGATGTAGTGTGATACAGATAAATATATATTTCTTTGCATTATTTTAAACAGGACATGTTTATGACCATGTAAGGCAAAGGTGCCTTTTCTGCAACTCTTGTAAGGCAGCTGCTGTTTCCTTTCTTTGCCCAAACTGTGATTTCTAGCTATCCACCAAGTTTATTCATCAGTGAGTTTCTCCAGCTAGTGGTATGAAATCATATACCCTGAGAAGATTCTGGCACAAATACATTTAACTTGCACATTTTAGTAGATAGTACAGTAAGCTTCCACTTACTAAAGGATATCAGTTAAGTGAAAGGAGACATCATCTCTACTTTAAAAGAAAAAATGTAATTTGTAAAATTATTTATAAACCTGAGGACAAGCATATGTATAAATACCAGGAATAGATGCTTAAAATGTCTGGCAAACATTTTGCCAAGTATAATCACAGAATCGCAGAATTGTGATCACTTATATGGACCTTTGAAGATCAAGTCCTACCCCCCTGCTAAGCAGGTTCTAAGAGTAGGTTGAACAGTTAAACAATCCAGTAGTCTTTGGATATTTCTGTAGAAGGTGACTTCACAACCTCTCTGGACAGCTTGTCTAGTGCTCTGTCACCCTCAAAGGAACAAAATTTCCACCTATTCCATTTGGGTTTGTTACCTTTTGTCCTCTCAGCACCACTGAAAAGACTGTGGCCCCATCTACACTCATCCTTCAGATACTTATAAACATTGATAAAATCCCCTTTCAGTCTTCCCCAGGCTAAACAGACTGTTCTCTCAGCCTTTCCTCATAAAGGAGATGCTCAAGGTCCCTAATCATCTCTGTGGCCCTTCACTGAACTCCTTCTAGGAGATCCCTGGCTTTCTTGAACTGAGGATCCCAGAACCAAACACAGTACTCCAGACTTGACCTCACCAGGGCAGAGTAAAGTGGGAGGATCACCTCCCTAGACCTGCTGGACATGCCCTTTTTAATGCACCCCAGGATACCATTGCCCTTCTTGGCCACAGGGGCACACAGCTGGTTCATGACCAGCATATTGTCCATCAGGACACCCTGGTCCTTCTTTGCAGAACTCTACTCCAGAAGATCATCTCCTAACCTGTACTGATGCATGTAGTTATTCCTCCCCAGGTGTAGGACTTTACACTTGCCCTTGTAGAACCTCATCAGGTTCCTTTCCACCTGACTCTCCAGCCATTCAGGTCTTGTTGAAGGGCAGCACAGCCTTTCAGTGTGTCAGCCACTCCTCTCAGCTTTGTATCATCAGCAAACTTGCTAGAGTGCACTCTATCACTTTATACAGGCCGTTGATCAAGATGTTGAATAAGAATGGTTCCAGAGCCAGCACCTGGGGAACGCCACTAGTAACAGACCTTCAACTAGACTACGCACTACTAATCACAACCTTCTGAGCTCGCCTGCCAGCCAGTTCTCAATACACCCCAGTAATTTGTATGCACAATAATACTCAATCGCTACTCTAAAAATATTTTGTTGAATTAAAAAGCAGTACTTCTTATTTTAAAAATGTAAAAAATGCTGGCTTTGTCTGGAGTTCATCTTTTCTTGTAGAAGACTGAAGGAGCTCTTACAGTGGAGTGAAAGAGTGTCAGTCAGTGACAGAAAACTAGACAGCACTCAAAATGAGAGCTAAAGGAATACTGCTATGAATGTGAATGTACAGCACGGCCCTGGACTACAATCAATTTAAAAACCTGTCCTCTTCGTAATTTTCTGCTTTCAACTTTGGAAGAAAAACAAACT